GGGGATAGGGGCCCGTACGTGCATGTAGATTAAGTCCCCAAAGTTTCAGCCCCGTAGCTTTTGCGGGTCTCGAGATGAAAGATCGGTACAGAGGCCCAGCGCACAGACAGACAGACAGACAGACAGACAGACACACACACACACACGAAACAGCCCTGTAGCTTTTGTGGGTCTCGAGATGAAAAATCGGTAGAGACGCGCAGCGCACACACAGACACACACACAAACAGAGATGAAAAATCGGTACAGACGCGCTGCGCACACACAGACACACACACAAACACACACACATACAGCACGCACACACACACACACAGACAACCTCTCGTCAATATGCGTTTTCTGCATTGCATAGCTGCAAAAAACGCGGCTGTTACACAGCACAAAACGCATAAAAATCGGTACAGACGCGCAGCGCACACACACACGCACAAGTCCCCAAAGTTTCAGCTCCGTAGCTTTTGCCGGTCTCGAGATGAAAAACCGATACAGAGGCCCAGCGCACACACAGACACATCGCAGCTTTTATAGGTCCGGAGATGAAAGTGCGTGACAGACGCACACACAGGCACACAGACACACGAACACACAGACAACCTCTCGTCAATATGCGTTTTTCGCATTGCATTGCTGCAAAAAACGCATAAAAATAAGCGCACCAGATGAAGGTACTATGAAAAACTGAAATCTCAGATTTCGGAGAGTAAAAGTCCACCTTTCCACCAAATATCACAGTTCGCGGGGTGATGTCAACATTCGGATTCGTTTTGATACGATTATAGAGTGTGATAACGTGCAATACGTTCAACAACTGGCGCTTGTATTCGTGCATTCGCTTAACCTGCAATTAATTTTGCTACAAACACTGAAGTTCTTTTGACTGCGTTTCGTAAGTGGGGCTTTTTTTGGCACAACAAGGATTTGCTGGACCAAGGTAGCTACTTCCGCGCCACAAAGGACCAAGAAAAAGAGCACGGAGAAGAGCTTTCAAAATTTCAAAGTCTAGCAAAAGTACAGACGCCACCAGTATATGAGAATAAAACACACATGGATATCAAAGATACTGGATGGATTGATTTCAACTTGATATTCGTCATTGAGGAACTGTGCTAAACGAAGCTTGTTCTCTTGCTTAACCCTGTGAATGGCATCTAGGAAACCGATATCGTTAGCGAATTTCTTTAGTTCTTGCAGCTTGTCGAGATCCGTAATCCAATCCTCACCAATTTTCTATAATTATTACATTTCATAATTTACAGTCTGGGCTGTAATGCAGAATTTTTTTTAAGAAGCCGCCTTTATATCAACAGTGGAAAGTAGCAATCAAAGCAGAAGATGTCATTATTCAGGAAAGTTCAGAAAGCCAAAAATCGAAGAGAAATTACCTCACAAATAACATCAGCAAGGGACGGATTCGAAAGCAGAAGCCAGCGTCGCGGAGTGATACCATTGGTCTTGTTTTGGAAGCGTTCAGGGAAGAACTCGTAGAAGTCTTTGAAGCTAAATCAAAACTTTCCCAGATTTATCCGTGACAAAGAAGTTTCATTATGCCCGGAAGCATAAACGGAATGCTTACACGGTCTTTTTGAGCAGATCCGAATGCAAAGCAGCCACACCGTTTGTTGCATGTGAGCCAACGATACACAAATGCGCCATGTTTATCCTTTTCTCCCCAAATGCATCAGCTTCTTCCACAATTGACATACGACGCATGCGGTCAAAATCGCCCGGATATCTGGCTGCAACCGCCTACAAACCAACAATCCAGGTTGGAACGCACCAGGCCAGCCGGTGCGATCATGCGTTTTTGCATCAAACTTTGAGGTACTCCATCAAATTTCCCTGCCTTTTTGAAATGCAAACTTCCAGTTCACTAAAAAGTAAAAGTATTGCCCGAGCGGTCGTCTCCAAAAAAACCGCGTTCATTTACATATACGATTGCAGCTAAGGTCGGAGCTGCGAACGAATTTTTGAAAATACGCAAATTTTTAGTTCATTGAAAAATTGAAAGTACTGCCCGAACA